TACCTTGCCATGCCTATAAGCTTAAATAGTCTTGATCGCGAGGGTGCGAGATTGCTGAGTCCCTGTGGCTCACAGATTACTATAATACCAGATGCAGGGCCTGATGATTCCACTCCAAGAGACGCGTATGAGCTCAAGTGGGAGTTCGACGAAGACTCTCAACGTTACTATGTTTCTTTTCCCGATGATCAGTAGTGGTGCCCAGTTGGGGTGATTGGGACCGTGTCGCATGTTGGGTTATCTTTTATTTTGGCGTCGTAGTCGGGCCATGAGTGTTTGGATGATGTAATGTTATTTATGTACTTGATTGACGTGGCGAGTGTAAGCCAACTATGTTATCTCCCCTTTTATTATCTATATTACATGGGATGTTGTGAAGATTGCCTAACTTGCGACATATGCCTTCAATGCGATTATGCCTCTAAGTCGTGCCTCGACACGTGGGAGATATAGTCGCATCGAGGGTGTTACACAGGCCATGAAGTCATGGATTGCTGGCATCGTTATGACGAGGACTTTGTCCCTGATGCACGTCTCGTTGCGGCTGCAATAAGGGAGCAAGGTGGTGGAGATGGCTCTATTTGGTACGCTGACTCGGGAGCTACTGACCATGTCACCAACGAGCTAGAGAAGCTCTCCATGAGGGAGAGATACTTCGGCAATGACCAGATCCACACCGCTAGCGGAGGAGGTATGGACATACGTCATATTGGTCAAGCATCTATTAATTCCCCTACTCTTAAACGTGATCTAGTTCTTAAAGATGTCCTTCATGTTCCACAAGCCGATAAAAACCTTGCATCTATGTCTCGTTTGACCGCCGATAACAATGTTTTCTTTGAAACTCATCCTACATATTTTTTTATTAAGGATCGGGCAACGAGGGAGCTCCTCCATCACGGTAGATGCATTGGAGGCTTGTACCCCATCACATCCAGAGCATTTAGTCGAAAGCGTCATCGTCAAGTCTACTCCGTCGTCAAGCCCTCATTGGCAAGATGGCATCAAAGATTAGGACATCCTTCTTCGATCATAGTCAAGCAAGTAGTGAATAAAGGCAATCTTCCATTGTCATCTAGTCAACATGTTGAGTCTGTTTGTGATGCTTGTCAATGTGCCAAAAGTCACCAACTCCCTTATCCTAGGTCAAATAGTGTGTCTCATGCTCCTTTGGAACTTATTTTTAGTGATGTATGGGGTCATGCAAGAGATTCTTTTGGAAGAAAAAATACTATGTTAGTTTTATTGATGATTTTAGCAAATTTACTTGGATATATTTGCTTAAGTTCAAATCTAAAGTTTTCTCCGTATTCCAAGAATTTCAGAAGCTTGTTGAACGTCAATTTGGTAGAAAAATCATCACAGTCCAGAGTGACTGGGGAGGAGAGTATGAACAGCTCAACTCTTTCTTTCGTGATATTGGCATTGCTCATCATGTATCTTGTCCTCATGCTCATCAACAGAACGGCTCTGCTGAGCGTAAACACCGTCATATTGTCGAAGTTGGTTTATCCCTTCTTGCTCATGCATCAATGCCATTAAAATATTGGGATGAAGCCTTTATCGCAGCCACTTATCTCATTAATCGTCTTCCTAGCAAAGTTATTGGTAACATCACTCCTTTGGAAAAATTGTTCCAACAAAAGCCAGACTATAATTCTCTCAAAATCTTTGGGTGTGCTTGCTATCCCAATCTTTGTCCTTACAATCGCCATAAACTTGAGTTTCATTCCACTCAATGTGTTTTTCTTGGCTATAGTAATCTCCATAAAGGATACAAGTGTCTTGAAATTTCTACCGGACGAATATATATTTCTCGTGATGTTGTATTTGATGAAACAATCTTTCCTTTTGCCACACTTCATCCCAATGCTGGAGCTTTACTTCGTGTAGAAATTGCACTTCTTCCTGACTATATGCCTAGTCCAGATCACGGGGAAGAGTTAAATAGTGCTGATCATATGACTAGTCCGAAAGAAGATTTTAATTCTGATGCTAAGTGTGCAGATTCAGATTGTCATTTTATGCAAGCAAATGAAGACAACCGGGCGCTAGATCCCAGGCGGATCTGGCTGGCAGCAATGGCGCGGGATCCAGAGGAACAGACACGCGATCCCAGGCGGATCTCAGCAGCGCGCTGCATGCATCGGACGCAATGGTCGACAGCCCCAGCAGCACGGGCCCCACCAGCCCACCCAGCATGGGCCACCGCGAATCACCTAGCGCCACCCGTGCGTGGAATGGGCCAGCAGCCGACCAGGCGACAAGGGTGGGGTTTGGCGCAGGAGGCGCGTCCGACCCAACCGAGCGGTTGGCCGCTGTGGATGCCACGCGGCGCTCTCCTAATAGCACACCGATCGCTAGGAGGATTCCTGACTCCCCGATTGCCTCGGATCGGGAGCAGGATCAGGAGCTGCACGATGCATGGGATCCGGCGGGATCTTCTGAGGTAGAAAACTCTACTCAAACTTGTGTACCAGCTTCTGCATTGGACTTCCATGTCGCCACACAAGATCAAAATCTGGTATTGTTAAAGAAAAAGAATACAAAGATGGAACTATCAGGTATGATAAGATTAAACGTGCTTTTCTTACTAGTATGGGTGAGCCAACTCATCTACATGATGCACTTGCTAGTAAAGATTGGAAAGAAGCTATGGATAGCGAATATGAGGCACTCATGAAAAATAAAACTTGGCATTTGGTACCACCAGGAAAAGGCAAAAATGTCATTGATTGCAAGTGGGTGTATAAGATTAAAAGAAAGTCTGATGGAAGTATAGACAGATACAAGGCTATATTAGTTGCAAAAGGGTTTAAACAAAGGTTTGGTATTGATTATGAAGATACCTTTAGCCCTATCGTTAAAGTAGTTACTATTCGACTTGTATTGTCCATTGTTGTTTCCAGAGGCTGGGGTTTAAGGCAGCTAGATGTTCAGAACGTGTTTCTTCATGGTGTTCTGGAAGAAGAGGTTTTTATGCGGCAACCACCAAGTTATGAAAACAGGAGCACACCTCACTATATTTGCAAATTGGATAAAGCTTTGTATGGGTTGAAACAGGCCCCAAGAGCTTGGTACTCAAGGTTGAGCACTCAGTTACAACAACTTGGGTTTATACCATCTAAAGCTGATACTTCGTTATTCTTCTACAACAAAGGCAATATTATTATCTTTGTCTTAGTATATGTTGATGATATAATCGTTGCTAGCTCAAGTCCAAGTGCTACTACTTGTCTGCTTAAGGATTTAAAGATGGAATTTGCTCTTAAGGATTTGGGTGATCTTCATTACTTTCTTGGTATAGAGGTCAAACGGATGAAAGATGGCATACTTCTGTCTCAGGAAAAATATACCAAAGATATTCTCAGGAGAGTAGGATTGGAAAACTGCAAGCCTGTAAGTACACCATTCTCAACTTCGGAAAAACTTACTATTGATAGTGGAGAAACTCTTGGGCCTGAGGATGCAACAAACTATAGAAGTGTTGTAGGTGCATTACAGTACTTGACTCTTACACGTCCTGTTATTTCTTATTCTGTTAACAAAGTATGTCAGTATCTGCATGCACCGACTACTGTTCACTGGACTGCAGTTAAAAGAATTGTGAGGTATCTCAGTTTTTCAGGAGATCTTGGACTAAAAGTTGTCAAGTCTCCCTCCTTGCTTGTATCTGCCTATTCTGATGCAGATTGGGCAGGATGTCTTGATGATAGAAAGTCTACAGGTGGATTTGCTATTTTCTGGGATCAAATCTTGTATCATGGAGTGCAAGAAAGCAGGCTACAGTCTCAAGGTCAAGCACTGAGGCTGAGTATAAGGCTCTAGCAAATGCTACTGCTGAAGTGATGTGGATTCAGACATTACTGTATGAGCTTGGAGTTAAAGTCCCACAAGTTGCAAGATTGTGGTGTGATAATATTGGAGCAACTTATCTTTCAGCTAATCCTGTTTTCCATGCACGTACAAAGCATATTGAGGTTGATTTCCATTTTGTTAGAGAAAGAGTAGCTCGAAAGCTACTGGACATAAGATTCATTCCTACTGGTGATCAACTAGCTGATGGCTTTACAAAACCTCTTACCATGAGAAGGCTCAATGAATTCAAGTACAATCTCAACCTTGGTGTTCCTTAGGTTCAGATTGAGGGGGAGTGTTGGAATAGTTGTATTGAGATAGGACTAGTGTTTAAACTTGTAATCCTCTCCTATCTCTACTTCTGTCTACCTCCTCATGTACCGACCTTCTCTTGTAACTTCACGATCAATCTCCTGATCGTCAGACTTGTAAGCCACGGCATCCTCAATATAAATACAATCGCGGCCCGAGAAAAGGGTTTAACGCTTCCACAATATTTACAGTCTATACATCTGATCTAGAGCTGCAGCTTCTCGCAACAAGTCTGGAGAAAGAGTGCCAGATGGTCTGGATGCCCCTCGCTAACCCCAAGAGTGAGATCTCAGCTCAGCTCGACACAGCACTGCCATCTCATCATCAACAAGACTGCACCTGCTAATAGGCGAGGAGTCAGATCAATGATCATCATGATTGCTTGGGAATTATGGAAGGAAAGGAACTATTGCGTCTTCAGGGCAAAAACACCTCGGGCTGAAGATGTCATCTCAGCAATCGGGAACAACATCGAGCAGTGGAGATTGGCCGGAGCCAAGTGCATGGAGCCTCCCTTCGGGGACACAATTAGTGAAAATTAGCCATTAGAAAGGGAGGGCTAGTTGTACTTTTCTAATTTCATCCATTTGATCACTTGATCTACATGTTTTCATTGCTTTCTGCTAAATCAATGAAGCTGGTGATAGCCGGGTCTTTAAAAAAAAGCTGTTCTAAAAAAATTAAAATGGTCCCTGCAGTTAAGTAATGCAGTGACAGAAATGCCCTTCCAAGTTTTACCCAGCGTCCTATAAAACCACACCCCACGAATCAGTAAAGAGTATATCCACTAAGCTGCAAAGCAACAGCGCACATCAGCAGCAGCAGCAGCCATGAAACACTGCTTCAGCCTCGCCGCGGCGCTGGCCGTCGTGACCCTGGCCGCGCTTCTCTCGTCGGACGCCGTGGTCGCATGCATCGACGTGGGCTTCTACGACAGGACCAGCCCGTCCGCCGAGACCCTGGTGCAGCAGACCGTGGCCGCCGCCTTCGGCAACGACTCCGGCGTCCCTCCGGCCATCATCCGCCTCCACTTCCACGACTGCTTCGTCAAGGTAAGCCAAGCTAGCTACCACACTGCACGGCATGCATGCATGCATGCACGCACTCACAGCGTCCATATACTCACATGCATGCACGGGTATTGTTGCAGGGCTGCGACGGCTCCGTGCTGATCGACTCGACGCCTGGCAACAAGGCGGAGAAGGACTCGGCGCCCAACTTCCCCAGCCTCCGCTTCTTCGACGTGGTGGACCGCGCCAAGGCGGCCCTCGAGGCGCAGTGCCCCGGCGTCGTCTCCTGCGCCGACGTCCTCGCCTTCGCGGCGCGGGACAGCATCGTGCTGTCGGGCGGCCTCGGGTACCAGGTGCCCGCCGGGCGCCGGGACGGCCGTGTGTCCACCGAAACGGACGCGCTCAACAACCTGCCCGGGCCGACGTCCACCGCCTCCGACCTGGTCGCCGGCTTCGCCGCCAAGAACCTCACCGTCGAGGACATCGTCGTCCTCTCGGGCGCCCACAACATCGGCGTCTCCCACTGCAGCAGCTTCACCGAGCGGATCTACAACTTCCCCAACACAACCGACGGGGTAATGTAACTTACATAATTCTTCAACAACACATCAAAACATGGAATTTTGAGTACTCAACGATCCTAATTATTTGTTACCATACGTTAACAGATTGACCCGAAGCTGAGCAAGGCGTACGCGTTCTTGCTCAAGGGCATCTGCCCGCCGAACAGCAACCAGACGTTCCCGACGACGACGACGCTCATGGACCTCATCACGCCGGCGAGGTTCGACAACAAGTACTACGTGGGGCTGGCCAACAACCTGGGCCTCTTCCAGTCGGACGCGGCGCTGCTGACCAACGCCACCATGAAGTCGCTGGTGGACTCCTTCGTGCGCAGCGAGGCGGCGTTCCGGACCAGGTTCGCCAGGTCCATGCTCAAGATGGGGCAGATCGAGGTGCTCTCCGGGGCGCAGGGCGAGATCAGGCGCAACTGCAGGGTCATCAACCCCACCAACGTCACTAGTGCCGGCGCCGTTCACCATCATCTTCTCCCCAGATCATCAGGTTCTTCAGGAACCAACCAGGTGGCTGCAAGCTGATTATTAGTTGGTGGTCAGTAGAGATATACACTATGTGTGTACGTGCAGTGTGCATGTGGTCGAGTGCTCTAGTGTGATGCAATAAATTATCTGATGTTTTGTCTGATCGTCTGTGCTACAATTTGCGAGCCGTTTGAAATGAACCAGTTCCAAAATGTTCCTATGAGAATTAAGCATATTCGGTTTCTCAAGTTATGTTAAGAAAAAGAAACATTTTTTTGAGGGAAAAAAGAAACATGTTTGTTTCTCTATCAAAATCTGTGTTAGACCAAGATGCCGCAAACAATGGATCGATGCAGCTTGTCACCATCACCCTTACTTTTGTTTAATCCATCCAATTGACCCAATTTGCTACTAATTAATACTACTCGACAATGTACCAAATTTATTTGTCTAGTCCAACCTACTGTTTTCTTTAGAGAACTGAACCCATCAAAGCATATATGTTCAAGTATTGTATACCATCCTGAATGTTATGGTGATGCCAGTGCTGTTCCATTTACAGCATTTTGGCCACATCTGGCACAAGAAATCTCTATGTTTTCAACAAACAATTGATGTAAGTTCAAAAAAAAACAATTGATGTACTCGACGGCATTTACATGGGGTTATGGGATCACTAAAAAGTTAATTGTACTAAACTGCAATTTGTTGAAGTAGCAGAATCGAAAAAATGTTCAGTTTCCTTCTTACAAGATACTCTGTTCATATATACACCTTGGCTGGCAGAAAATTGCATCTCAAAACCACTGGTGGCTTCTTTGTTCAAATTATTTTCATAGGAATTTTGGAGAATTGAAATCCTTAGGAATTTTTCCGACGTTGGTCGTTTGATTCATATGATTGGACCATATAGAAACTTTTCCTAAGGAATCATTTGTACTAATTTCATAGGAGATCTAACATTCCACTCCAACCTTTCGAAAAAAAATCCTTTGTTTTTTCTACAGTGCAACAAAACAAACTCAAATCATGTAGGATTCAAAATGGGTATGACATTCCATTCATGTGTTTTCCCTATTCATGCGAATCAAAGAGGCCCTGAAATGCTTGCTGAACAACATGGCATTTTCCTTGCTACTAGTCGCCAACGAACCAGCCTTTGGTCAATGGCCACAAAAGTCTTTAGTCTTAGTTTGATTAATGTTAATTACGACATGCAGCGGCCGACTAAAACTGAAGAAAAATCGTCAAGCCGACGAACATGCATCTCGTGACATTTCATAAATAACACTGGCCTGACAGGTCAGTTCCAACGCCCACCCCAATCCATTCCGATAAGCCAAATTAGTTGGTAGCATTGGGATCAGATTTGTAGACAAAAGTCCACAATGCTAAGTAGACCAATTGCAATGGAGTAGCTACCAGTGCCGGTTTAAAAAACCTGGGTAGCTAACTATATGATGCAAACAAAGATTTCGGTTTGATCAACAGATGCTAGATCTGATCTCAAAAACAAAAACCAAAAAAGAGAGATGCTAGATCTGCACATCAGCTTTGTTACCATCGGTTCGGTTAGGCTGTCGTTCTCAGGGGTAAGAAGAAACTAGTGTCAACGCTGACTGTGCTCCCTCCTCTTCTTTACCCTGTTTCTGTGGGAAGTTATGATGGCAGGCTGGCGACAAGCAAGTCCTGAAATCTGGAGGCAACTGCAGAGGAGGAGGAGCCGAACCCATCGAGGATGTGTACGCTTGAAACGCACACACGACTACTGTGCTTGTACTCAGAGTTGCACACAGGGAGTGAACAGGCCTGCTGAACGCCGAACCTGCTGCAACTCGGCAGCGACGTGACCGTGCCGCGGCAAACCTCGTCCTGACATGCCATCTCGTCGAGCACCAAGCGCACGGCTCACCACGTCCGCGGCACACCATCGCCCACGAGCATTCTGTCGAGCACGTCGCACGCAGCGCCGGACCGATCGTCCTCGCGACCGCGGCAACGCCTTCGGTCACCAGCTACGGCCGGTGCCATGTGCTGGACAGCGCTTTCCATTCTTGTATATTTCTCCCGGAGCGTCGCGGCGTAGGAGGTGGGAATGCACGGGCAGTGGAGCTTTGTTTGGGCGGGCGGACTGGCTGGCTGACCGCGGCGGTAGCATTATATAGCATACGAAACCCAGGTAGCTTTCAGGCCGTGTTGCAAGAATTTCATGCAGACGAGATAGTTTAGATATAACATCATAATGGGTAGTGTCGCTATCTGTTTCAACTTGCCAGCTGGTACAGCATCAAACTTTGTACGATAACATGCCTTCAATCTGAACACCATCCAAGGGGGTGGATGAGTTCGGCAACAAAGAAAGAACTACAATTGTTTACTACTCCCTCCGTTCGGAATTACTTGTCGCTCCGTTCGGAATTACTTGTCGTTGAAATGGATGTATCTAGATGTATTTTAGTTCTAGATACATCCATTTTCAAGACAAGTAATTCCAAACGGAGGGAGTAATATATCTGAATCCCAATGTATGTGTATATATTTAAACAGAAGTCCAGACTTGCAGGTTTTACAACAGTGCTGATCAGTACACATGTACTCCCTCCATAAATTAATATAAGAGCGTTTAGATTACTACTTTAGTTATCTAAACGTTCTTATATTAGTTTACAGAGGGAGTAATACGCAACATGGTCATGGCAAGAACAAACAAATAGCAACTGCCTTGCCAAGGTTACAGGTCAATTGTCCACGGACAGCGACACCTATATACATCCAACGGTGCACCTTTCCCTGGCGCTTCGGAACTGGAGACACATGTCAGTGCGGAAACCGAATCTTAGGTAGTTTTTGGTTGCCGGGCTCGGGTGATGTGTCGGCATTCAGCTCTCCTCTTCGAGCTCGTCAAACTCCCACCCGCTGATCTCCTCGGCTGAGTAATCTTTGCCGTCCTTCCCAAAGTCTGCTCGCAGGTTTGCAAATTCAGAATCAGGATCCAGCTGATGCTGCTGCTCAGGCTTCATGGGAGATTTTGGGGAGTCGACGTGCGCGGCTTTGGGGGTAACAGGTGCTTGGATAGGCGAAGGGCTCAAGTCAGATCTTTCCTCAGGCAGTGGCTTTGATTTGTGATCTTCGATGCTTAGTGTTGGCCTTTCTATAGATTCAAATGCTTCCCTCAGTTTCTCGATCTCGTCAATTAGGCTCTTGACCTCTGGGTCATCTCTCCTGAACAAATACTTGAAGTTCAGTCTTCCCATTCCAAAGGGTGGATGCAAATTAGAAAAATATTCATCAAGATGAGAATAGCCCGCAATACCTAGAGTTAGCCCCATGCTCTGAATAGAACAACTTCTTTATGTGGTCTGCGATGCTGAAAGCAATGATAATCTGGAAATATTTGTTCACTATCATCAGCCAGTTACAGTAAAACAAAATAAAATATCGAATACTTTGCTGGGCAAATGACAGTATCACTTAGGAGCCTGCTTCAAGCATTTTCAACAATATTGTGTAAGATATATGCAAAAGAACATGCAAGAAATCAACTGGTAAAAGGAAAACAGGATTTGAATTTTGCAAATTATCATTGTGCTCCAACAGATATTGCCTTGCTCTATTGTAAATTGTCCTTGCACACATCTTGGTCTTCCTCTCTGTCAAGAAGCTAACCAAGGCGGCCCTTCTACCCTGGGTAGACAAGGCCACCGATCGGCTTCCACTGGAAAGCTGCTCTCATTCACCCTGCTGGTAGAGCAGTGCTTGTTAAGGCCGTTCCCACATTCATCCCATTATATTTGTTGTTGGCTACGGATGTTCCTCGCTGGTTGATCAAGGCAATCGACGAGAGAAGGCGGGCTTTTTGGTGGAAGGGGCACGATAATTTAATGACGAACACTGTCGTCTTGCTTGAGTTAAGGTGTGCAGACCTAAGGAGTTTTTTTTGTTTTTTTGCGAGTACAGACCTAAGGAGTTGTGTGGCCTGGGCATACACAACTTAGAAATGCTCAGCTGGGCTCTAAGAATGAAATGTCTTTGGATCCAGAAGACTGAACCTGATCAGTCTTGGGCTGTTTTTGACACATCAGTACCTAGTTACGCAGCGGCAATGTTCTCTAGCTCGGTCAAGACTGACTCGGTAATGGAAAAATACTAATTTTGGACTGACAGGTGGTTATTGGGTCTGTCTTTGAACAATCTTGCACCTAATATTTTTGTTTGATTCCCAAACGTATTACTAAGAAGAGAACTGTCAGAGAGGCTTTGTTGGATAATACTTGGATTAGAGATATCAGATGGACTGTTACAGTCCAAGCTCTGGAGGATTTCATTCAGATTTTGAAGGAGTGGAATTACAAGATGATGTGGAAGACAAACCCATATGGTCAGCCTTCGCGTCAGGCACCTTCTCCTCCAGGTCGGCTTAGGAAATCTTTGAAGGCAGCACCAAGTTTAAACCTTGGCAAAGACCTAGGAAATCTTGGTCATCCCACCCAGAGCGAAATATTTCATTTGGTTAGCTTGCCTTCACCGATGCTGGACTTCTGATCGTCTTGAACACCAAGGTCTGCCTCAACCCACAAGATGCCCTCTCTGATCAGGTGGATGGGACCATTACTCATTTGCTGGTCGCCTGTGTCTTCGCTGTACAAGTTTGGGTGGAGACCCTACAGTCAATTGGCTTGGCCCAGGTGGCACGTGTTGGCCAAAATCATTTTTCCTTCCAAAATTGGTGGTTTAAGGCGACGCTATTAGTTGATTCTCATTGGCGAAAGGGGTTCCACTCCTTGGTCATATGCTAGTTGCCTGGTTCCTTTGGAAAGACCGTAATGGTTGTATTTTCGAGGGTAGGAATCCTAGCCTCAGTCAGCTTGCCCAAGAGATATGAGAGGAATCCACTCTTTGGTGTTCTGCTGGTGCCTTTCAGTTGGAGTCTCTTTGGTTGTGATCTTTGTTTGGTCTCGTGGTCGTTTCTTTGATTTGTCCTGGCGCGCCTGTAATCCTGTCTGGTGTTTTTTTTTGGGTGGTATGTGTGTTCAGTGGGTGTTACGTGTGAGTGTTAG